GCGCCAGGCTCGTGGGCTGCGTGTGCCAGCCCTGAGAATGCAGCGGCAGGTTCTGCCTGCGGGGTCAGAGAAGCACAGGCCAGGGGAAAAAAATCAGAGACCCAGCCTGGGAGGATGGCTCGTTAGCTCTCTGACCTGGGGCAAATGACTCAGTCTCTTTTCCTTTATCTTTTATTTGAGGTCGTGAATATATGTGGGAAAGTTGGCATGAATGTTAAATAAAACACTGAATTAGAAGCTGCATACTGGAGTGCCTCACACATCATAGGTGACCTTTTGCATGAGGAAGAAGAGGGCCCCCGAAACGAGATGATGGTCCGGCTTGACCTTGAGAGGAAGCCGGGTCATACGGGACAGAGGAGCGCTCGGATGAAAAGAGGTATTCCAAGCAAAGGGCCGAGGGGAAGAAAGGCGCTGTTTTGGGGGCCCTGGGCCATTTTCTGTATATGGGGAGGGGTGAGTTTAGGAGCATTGTGGGAAATCAGAAAGGCAGGATGGGTCCTCAGTGCCAGGTGAAAGAAATGGTCTTTCCCCCATATTTAATAGACTGTTCCAGAGAATGAGTGATGGGGGGGGGGCGTAGAAACTAGAGAAGGAGGGCCCAGTCCGAAAGCCGTTGGCATTATCAGGAGATGGGGGTGTGAGCCAGGGCGGGGACAGGGGCCTGCAAAGGGGAGAGTTCCGCAGCCATTTTGAAAGTAGGCCCAGCTACGGCTTGGGCGCTTGTGAGACGAGGAGTAGAGGATAGTCCCAGTGCAAGCTGCCTCCTGTTTCCCGGCCCGGGCACTGACTCCGTAGATGGTAAGACCAGAAACTGACTTGGGAAGGAAACACCCATGGGATTTGCTTGTTATATGGGGGAGGCATTGGAGTTGGTCACTGAGATAATGGACATGTTTAGCTCATGAGGCTTTTTGGATGTCTAGGGAGCGATGCCTGGTGAGCTTTTCAAAAATGAGCCTGCCTAACTTTTTGTGAATAAGTCACGGATCCATGGTGTCTCTACCATGGACCAAGTGCTGTTCTAAGTTCTTTACTGTATCAGCTCATCTGATCATAAATAACATCCCTATGAGATGGACAATATCATGAGGCTTGTTTTATGAGCGGTGATGGGCTGGAGTGTGCCCCCTCCTGAGCTCCAATGTGACTGTATTTGAAGATATGGCCTTTAGGAAGTAATTAAGGTTAATTACAGGAAACACAGAAAATAAAGTAAGGTTAAATAAGGGTGAGGGCCTAATCCAGTAAGGCTGGTGTCCTTATAAGAAGAGGAAGAGGCACCAAAGATCTCTGTCATCGTGTATACAGAGGAAAGGCCATGTGAGGGCACAGCAAGAAGGCAGCTGTCCGCCAGCCAGGAAGAGAGCTCTCACCAGAAATCAACCCTGACAGCATCTTGATTTTGAGCTCCTAGTCTACAGAAGTGTGTAAAAAAAAAAAAAAATTAATGTATTTTAAATAAAGCCAACCAGTCTGTAGTATTGTTATAGCAGCCTGAGATGACTAATACAAGGGCAATTAAGCACAGAGATGTTAAGTAACTTCCTCAAGGTCACACAGCTGGTAAGGGACAGAGGCCAGATTTGACTTAGGGCAGAGTCTTTCCCTTTAACCACTAGCCTCTTTGCCTTGAACTGCTGCTTCTCTAGGGTGTGTGTGTGTGTGTGTGTGTGTGTGTGTGTGTGTGTGTGTGTGTGTAGGGGCAATAGCTCCAGATGGATAGAGAGAAAATGGGGCTGTCACCTCGTTCCAAGGAGAGGCTGATTTCTGTGGCTCCACTGCACCGGTCTGCTTCCTGTGAAGAGCAGCGTGGCTAAGCCTACCGATGGCTCTGCTGAGGCAGCATGGCCACATTCCAGCCTCCTCCCTCCCATTCTGTTAGACGGGGGCCAATGACACTTCTGTAGAATAGAGAATGAACGTGCGGCCTGGGGCAGCTGGAGCTGTGAGCATGTGCCCTGCGTGTTCTGGCCGGTGCTGGGAGGTGGAAAGGAGAAAGCTTTGGCCAGCTCCGAGCCTCATGGGCTGATGGGAACTGGGCACACTGCTTAAGGGAAAGGGGAGTCCGTTAGGCTAAGATCCGGCCAGTTATCTCAGAGGCTCCCCACCACGCACGCACGAGTTATAGTTTTCAGAGGAGCTTTGGTTCTTCCGCATGGAGATGAATTAATAATCAGGCTCAGGCGGCAGAGGCAGAAAAAAGAAAATCAAATTGGTTTTCTTTAGGAGACTCATGCATGCATTCTTGGTAATAGTTTTTGATTTGCAGCTCTTTCCCCTGAAAACACATTTTGAGGGGTTTTGTTTTTTCTTTTTTTGGTTGTTTGTCCCTTTGCCTTGAAGTTTCTGAATTATTCCACAGTGTGGTCCCTGCCAATTCTTGCTGTTGCTCGGATCCTGTTCACAGCCAAGTGGGAGAGTTTCTCCACAAACTGCCATTTCAGTGAAAACACAGAGAATAAAATGCAATCGAGTATATTACAAAGAGAGGCAGTGCTAAGTTCCTTGGCTGATGCAGCCTGCCCCAGCTCCTGCCTCTCTGACCTTGAATTTGCTTATATTGGTTACATGTTAGTTTGCAAATCGAAGCTCCTTTGGCTTGTCCTGGCTTCCTAAGCCCTTTTCTGGACCCTCTTTTACCCCACTGCCAACATCTGTCCTCAGGTAAGAAAGTCTTGTTGAAAGGAATTCTTTTACTAAGAAGTTGGTTTCAGTGTTGCCATTCCTTCCAGATGGCTTTCCATGGTCAGAGGGCTGATGTGTTTCCCAAACTTCATGCGCAGATGAATTGCCTGAGGATTTTTTTAGGTTGTGGATTCAGACTGAGTGTGTCCGGGATGGGGCCTGGGACCGTGCCTTTCTGACACCAGGAGATGATGTTGCTGCTGATTTGCAGACCATACTCTGAGCAGCCAGGCTGTCGAGGAACACTGAATGGCTAAATGGTTGTGGAGAACACTATTGGAATGTGTGTCAGTCAGGGTCCTCCAAGGAAACAAACCAAGAGGAGATTATCTATCTACTGGATTGTGGGAAAAGCCATGACGTATTTTCTCTCTGGTTTTCATTGCAAAAATGTGTCATGACTTTTCCGACAACTCTATCATCTATCTATCTATCTATCTATCTAGAGAGATTTATTATGAGGAATTGGTTCATGTGACTATGGAGGCTGACAGGTCCCAAAACCCGCAAGCTGGAGACCCAGGAGAGCTGATGGTGTACGTTTCAGCCTGAAAGCCAGCAGGCTCAGGCCCAAGAAGAGCCAATGTTTCAGTTTGAGTATGAAGGCAGGAAAATATTGATGTCCCAGCTTACACAGAAAGGCGGAGAATATCCCTCTGACTCACAGGACGGTCAGCTTTGGGTTGTATCCAGGCCCTCAACTGATTGGATGAGGCCCATCCACATTGGAATGGGCAATCTGCTTTACTCAGTCTGTTGATTCAATAGTTAATCTCTTCCAAAACACCCTCCCAGATGCACACAGAATAATGTTTGATCAAATGTCTGGGTACTCCGTGACCTTGCCGAATTGATACATAAAAGGAAGCCTCACAGGATGGGGGCGTGTATCCTGCCCTGGGGTCTTCATAGCCTCTGACAGTCCTTTCTTGTCTTCCTGAAATTCCCTAGTGAGAAGATACAGCCGTGCGCCTTCATGAGCTAAATATTCATTTCTGCACCGACTCTCTGAACTCGGAGATGCCACTTCTGCATCTCCCTCTGTAACACCTGGGCTTGCCCCATCAATGCTGGCATATAAAGGACAAATGCCACTTTACATGTATGTGGAACCCCTTAATGTCGGTATACTGAGTGCCTGCTGTGTGAAAGGTACAAACTAGGAGTCAAGGAGGACTGAGGATGAGACCCCCTGGAGCGGAAGGGGTGTGGAAGGACATGATACATAACTTGTGGGGCCCAGAACAAAATAAAAGTGTGGGCCCCTTGTTCAAAATTTAGTATTTTAAAGACAGCAATAGCAGCACATTAAACCCAATTGGGGGCCCTTCTGAGTGTGGGACCCTGTGGGACTGCACAGGTCACATGCTCATGAAGCTGGTCCTGGGTGTGGGGGAAGGCGGACAGAAGGCATGCTGAGCTGGAAGCAACATGGCAGACGGACAGGAGTGTCAGCTCAGGAGCCAGGCAGATGCACAGGGCCTGACGGAAGTGCTGGGTGAAGATGTGCTTCTTTCGTTTCCTTCTTTCCTCTCTCCCTCACTTCCTTCCTTCATCCCTTCTCTCTCTCTTTCTTCTTTTTTTTCCTACAAGGTAGCTTTAAAAACCATACCACTTTCAATGAAATAATGTGCTTGTCATCCACTATATTTGTCATTCCACGGATATTTATAAATTGTTTGTGTCACTTTTAAATTCCATTGCAGCAGTGTCTAAAGTCCTATCTACTAAGGCAGTCTGTCCACTCTGTGGATGGGGGTGTGGGGTGTGTGGGGGGGAGGGCTCTTAGAACTCCAGGCCCTGTTAGGTTTTCAGGTGGTCCGCCAGCTGTTTCTCAGAACCCATAGCAAAGCTCTAGAGGAGTGGCCCTCAGAAGGAAACCATCTTCTCTGAACCTATTGCCAGGGCCTTGGTATTCATTGATGATCTGGCCGATTGGTTAGAGAAAAGCTCAGAAAAGTAAAAAACAGAGGTCCCTGACAGTAAGATATGACTAACTAGACTTTTCTCAGTCCACATCTGAGCCCAGACTGTCTAATCCTTGGAGGGATTAATGGGGTGGAGGGGTCTTGGCAGGAGATTGAGGATGAATCAGAGCAAACTCATCAACAGCTGCTTTGAAAAAGCAACCTCTCATTTCTTTCCTGCTGGGTTCCCAAGTCAATGGTAAGTCAACCAGTAAGTGCTTCTGCAGCAAATATTTATTGAACACGCTCGCACTGTGTGTAAGTTCCAGGACAGTCAAGTGTGCCCTCAAGGAGCTCAAATTTAGTTGGAGATAAAACTGCCCCAGTGCTGCCCTGTCTACCGTGAGCAAAGCCTTGCTAGACATTATCTATATAATAAGCTAGCTCATATCCTTTCTTAAAAGAGGGCATCTACAAATACATGACAGAAAAGAAGTAAGTGCCAAACTCCTTTCGGTAGGGAATGCAAAAGGTTAGACTTTGTTCATTCCATAAATATTTATCGTGCATTTACTATGTGCCAGGCCCTGTTCTAGACACGGGTTACCCCAGTGAACCAAACACCCAACAGCCGTGTCCTCAGGGAGCTTCTGTTTGAGTGGAAGAGCAGGTCAACGCAGGGCTGCCCAGGGTGGAGCGTGTGGGCTCCTTTCCGCCATGTAGCCTCACTAGGCGGGGCCATTTGTTGTGACTTCACCAGGCTCGTATTTAGTGAGGGTTTCAATAACTGTTAGGGAAAAAAATGTGGACTCGTAGTTAAAATTTAGGTCATAAACTAGAAACGTAATTTCTGCTGGTTCTCCTGTCCCAACCAAACCCTAATTCTGCCTTCGACCTCTCCAGTTTTTTAATGCCAATGCTATGCTCTCTTTAGATGTCAACAGTGCCCTTGGGAGATGGGAGGCCAGAATACTCTGCCAGATGGCATTTGTCTGAGTTTTAATGAAAATGCCCCATTCTCTTTGCCACCGTGTGAAGCAGCAACACACTGTGCAGAGCAGACAAAAAACAGCACAGAAGCCTGCATAGCTTTTCAGGTTTGAGGTCAAGAAATAGACCCAAAGGACAGAGCAGCTTAATTCCATCCACTAACCTCAGTGGTAGCCATGACTTTGGGAGCAATGGCTCCCAAGGTCAGCCCTGAGCAGATTCTGAGAGGCGAAGTTCTGATGTGCTGATGTAGGTGAGGTGTGATAGAAAGAGCCCTAATAGTGCTTCTTGTGTATCTGTCTCCCCTTTATGGGCAGGGCTAAGGATTTCTCTTATATTGTCTCATTCAGGTTTTCCAGCTTAAGGAAACATCATTATCCCATTTTAAAGATGCGGAAACTGTGGTTCACAGAGTTTAGTTAGCTTAGCTAAACCCAATAGTTAACTTTTATGAGTGTGTACTCTGTGCTGTGTGTAACCTCTGTTTAATCCTCTCAACATCCTTATGGGCTGGGTGGTATTACTCCTGTTTTACAGAATAAGAAAGTGAGGCTTATGAAAGATTAAGTAACCTACTCAAGTCTCCAGAGCTGGAAAGTGGTGGAGTTTGGATTCAGACCAGCCAGTCTGACACAGGGTTGTTTCTTAACTGCTGTAGGATCTCCTAGGAGCAGAAAGAGCTATGCCCAGGGCAATCAGATGGCGACTCTAGATATTCATCTGAAGCTCACCTTGCAACCACATTACCTCCTTAACGGGAGGGACGTCATGGCAGCAGCCGAGTGAGGCAGAGAAGAGATCCAACTACAGTTGACCCTTGAACAACACAGGTTTGAACCACATGGGTCCACTTATACTCAGATTTTTTTTTTTTGAAGATCTTATTGGGGAATTGGGGGAGAGGAACAGTGTTGGGGAATTGGGGAAGGGGACCAGCCAAGTTGTTGTTCTTCAATCTTCATTGTGGAGGGCTCCAGTCACCATCTGGCTTCCTATCGGCAGCTCGTGGCCCCTAAGCTCAAGGGGCTGTGTTCAATCTTAGTTGCGGGTGGGCGTAGCCACCATCCCATGTGGGAGTAGAACCAGCAGCCTTATTGTTAAGAGCGCATGCTCTATCCACTGAGCCATCCGGGTGTCAGCTCAGCTCAAGGTGCCAAGTTCAGTCTTAGTTGCAGTTTGGCATAGCCCACCATCGAACAGGCAATCTTGTTGTTACACCAGCTGAGCCATCCTGCCACCTGTTGGCAGCTCAGCGTCAGCTCAGCTCAGGCACAGTGTCACTGGCCCATGTGGGAATCATACCGGTGGCCCTGTTGCTCAGAGCTTGTACTCTTAAGCCAACTCTTAACCAACTGAGCCACTTGGCTGGCCCCACTCAGATTTTTTTCAATAAATATGTACAGTCCTGTAAAAGTATTTTTCTTATGATTGTTTTTAATAACATGGGGGTCAGTGTCCCTAACTCCCATGTTAAGGATAAATTGTACTCTGTACTTGCATCCAGGAGAGCCTTTAGTAACCTGCGACTGACACAGGAGGCCTCACCAGGTCCCACTACACGTGTCTCCAGTGGAAGACGTTTATTTAATAAACATTATTTAATGTTACTATATGCCAGGCACTTTTCTAAGCACATTGTCATTTATCCTCATACCAACCCTAAACAGTGGGCACTATTGTCTCAATTATATAGATGGGGAAACTGAGGCATAGAGGTCTCAAGTATGATAACTTGCCCAAGGTGACAGCTAGAAACTGATAGGACTGGGGTTTGAAACTAGGCAGCCTGGCTCCAGAGCATGGCCCAGTGCACTTGAAAATTGAACATCCTTGAGGAAAACCCAAAGGTTTTCCATATATATATATATATATATATATATATATATATATATATATATATATATATGTATGTATATGATTCCAAGATGGTGGCTTGTAACAGGTTAAGAAATGGCTCTTTCTTCTTGGATTAAAAGCTGCACAAAGGAATGACCCTCCACTTAGAAGCTTGGGCAAGGTATTGGCTGAGATGAAGGTAGTTTTTTGAAAGGGTGTCTTTTGGAAAATCTCTCAAAAACCTCTGCAACACCCACCATGGGACCTGGTGGACCTATCACTCTTGAGATCTACTATCCTAACCATTCTTCTCAAACTGATGGTTTAGAAGTACTTCAAATCTTCGGAGCTCTTACCTCTAAGTTTAGCTCCTCTATAATTCATTAAATATTTCTGAGCACCCTAAATGTACTAAGTACTGTGCTGTGTTAGGCACTGGGATACAGCAGAGAACAAGACAGATAACATTCTGGGTCAACTGGAGAACATAATTAAATGGCAATTTCAGCTCCATGTGACACAGGAGTCAGTGGGAGCCTTGGATGTGGGTCTCTAACCTTGCCTGGAAGTTCCCGGTGTCGACAGGACTCTGTTGCTCAGTTGGAGTTCAGCAAATGTCTACTGCGTGAACGCACTGACTGTGAAGGTGGGCTCTGAAGAATGGGTAGGAATGTGTCAAGTGAGGGAAAGTATGGGGGTTGGGGGTTCTGGGCAAAGGGAAGAGACCCAGAGGTGAGAGAACGAAATATTTTTCTGTTTAGGATGATTTGGCAAACCGTAGACTAGATTTCAGGAAGCAAAGTCTAGGGTAGAAGGACATGGGAGGTTTTTGATGTCAGGCCAGGTGAGAGAGGTTGGGGAGCAGGGCATGGATTTGGGGGCTAGGCAAGAACAGAGGGGGAAAGGAGGAGGGAGAAGTCCAGGATGACTTAAGTTTTCCAGTTTACGCTTACTCTCTCTGACACAGGCGTTTCCTTTTGTTTTCAACCAGATAACCCCGGGAGCTCAGGCCTTACCACCCAGTTGGGGTAAAGGGGTCCACCGAATCGGGTTGTAATGAATCTTCACCCCGGCCTTTGTTATTAATAGCGTAGTCCAAAACTCCTAAGGTGTGGAAGCGCTGGCCCGGGCTCAGGAAGAGCTTTCGTTAGAGTCTCTAGTGTCAGCGTCCGGTTTCCCGTGTCCTTCCCAACCTCGCAAAAGGTAAACGGCAAACATCGTTTCCGGATTTGACAGAAGAGACCAGGAGGTTTGTGCGAACCTTGCCGGAGTCACGTACTCGGCCAAGTAGGTGAATGTGAGGCCAGGGCCCCACACTATTATTTCAAGTTCACTTGCTGGCAACGTGAGTCAACGCGGTGAGTCCTGGACGCCCCAGGATTCGGTTCAGGCCGCGGTGGTCTACCTGGAGCCTGGCTAGCGCTAACATCTCCCAGCATCCACAGGGAGGGATTACGTTAGGTTTTTTTTTTTTAATCTGGTAAAAAAGTTCTTGTCTCCCCCTAGAGTCAGGCACACGCCTCCCAAGTCAGACCACGTGTCGCAGGTACAACGGTTTTTTTTTTTTTGGGCTCTTCCCCTCCCCCGTTCCGTTGGTTCCCCTTTCCTCTGAGCCTTAGGTGGCAGGAAAATCCTTTACCTCCGACCAATCCCACTGATGTGGAGCCGCGCGCGCGCGCGCGCGCCAACTCGAGCTCTTTCTCTGTACGTCATTGGCCACCTCCACCGCTGCAGGGTGACAGGCAGCTTCGCGGACCTATTGCCGGAGGAGGCGGAGGCCGCTCGGCCCTCCCAAAGCTGCTTTGTTAGGGGCTCCCTCGCCGTTCCATGACTAGCCGCGCCTCCTCTGCTTTCAAGCCCTGCTCTCCCCAGGCCGCACCGCCGGAGCCTCGTGGGAAGGCAGCCCGTGGAGGGTGCGGCGCCCGCATCTTAACAGCCGCGCTCCAGCGACCCAGGCTGCTCGGGTACCCAGCGTGCTCCTGTTGTCACTCTCCAGCCCAACTCCGAACGCCCCGCTCCTGTATCCGCCGTGTCTGATTGGCCGGCCGTAGGCGGAGCGATTGTCAGGCGGACCAATCAAAGCCCGGTTTCCCACGGGCTCTCTCGGCCCCGCCCACAAAGCCGCCAGCAGAGGCGTCCTGACAGCTCCCATTGGCAGACCGCGAGTGGGCCCGAGCGCTGCCTGGCAGAGCAGCGCCGCCGCCGTCGGGCGCGCAGCTCTGCAGCACCGCTATTGCCTCGGTCCCCGCAGCCCCGGTATCCCGGTGTTCCCGCATTGTCCCCATCGCCGAGATCCGGGACGAGCGTCGCGGGTGAGTACCGCGCGTCTGGGGGCGCGGGCTGGTTGGCAGGAGCCACCCCGAGGGACCGCGGTGAGGATGCCCGGAGCTACTCTGCCCGTGACGGGCACGTTCGGACCCCCGTCTCCCGCACACTGGGGCTCCCGGCGGGTCCTAGCTCCCCCTGATGGGGCTTTACTCGTATTGTTTTCGTGTTCACACACTTGGGAGGTGGGGAGCTGGCGAGGGGAGGCCAGAGGAGGCGAGCTCGAACCGTTGGGAGGGATACGAGCCAGTGGCGCCCAGGTGCCCAGCGCCAAATGGAAGTGACAGTGTCCAGGCGTTGGCATTCGGTCCTCCTGGCAGCAGGAGGTCAGCGCTGACTTGCGGCCGCGGTGGCACTTTGTATTTGTCGGCCGATATTTATCAACTTCGGGGAGGGCGTGTGTGTGCGTGCGTGTCTCTGTGTGTGTCTCCGTCCCTGACTTGGGCGCCTCCAGGCCTGGGTTTTCGGCGACGCTGCCTGGGCGCTCACCTTGGCGATCCGTGTAGCGCTCGCGGCCGTACACACAGGGAAGAGAGTCCGGGGGTCCGCACATTGGGCCGGGCACCCGCGGCTGATCTGGGAGGGGGCATTTAAAGCGGCATCCTGAGGGCGCGCAGACAATGACTGGTCCAGGCGCGGGGTCCCGGGGACTGTGCGTTGGGTTCCCGCGCCGGATCCAGACCCTGACTCGCCCTCTCGCGGTGTCGGCGGGTCAGATGCTGCTGTGCGGTGTCACCCGGCGGGGGACCAGCGTGGGGGCCCGCTTTTGTTTACAGACGTCGCCATTGGGCGAGAGCTGCGCCCTGCGCTCCCCCGGCCCCGGCCGCTGCTGCGCGCCCCCTTCGAGCCGGGAGAAGTTGGTGCGTGCTGTCAGGTGACGCCCCCTCCCCCGGCCTCCCGGCGAGATGCTGCAGGGAAAAGACGTCCAGGCGGCGCCTTCGCGCCCAGTCCCCGCCGCGTACGTCGCCCCCAAGTTCCCCTGTATCCAGAGGCGCCGTGTCCCTGCCAGGGTCCCTCCCAGATTGGCAGCCACGCTCACCTCCTTAATACTAGCATCCTCTAGCCTTGCCTTCTGACCAGCCCAGGTTGATCCGAGCCTGCCTTTTTCCTGCGTGCTGGCAAGTCTTGAAGGACGCGTACGAGCCCTTGGGGACGCTGGCCAATCCGTGCCCGCTTAGGTGGTACCCACGCGGCCCCGCGGAGCAGCTGCGGGGCACTCTTGAATCAGAGTGGTCCGGATCGGGTTACCCACGCGTGCTGACTTGGCGCACACTTTGTTTGAGCTGGAGTAGAGCCTGGGCGCTGAGGTCAAACAAACTCGGGTTCCAGTACCTGCTCAGTGCCACTCACAGACTGGGTGATCCAGACCAAGCTGCTCAATCTCCCTGCGTCTCAGTTTCTGAGTCTGGGAAGTGGGGATGAGTATCTCCATTTCTGGGGGGTTTAAAACGACAGTATAAATCAGCTGCTTAGGACAGTGCCCGCCACAGAGGAAGCACTGGAAAAACTGGTTTTCCCGTGAGAGGGACTCTATTTTAGAGGACGCCCCCGTGTCTCTTCTCCCTTCTGTAGTTCTCCACTCTCCCAGCTCCTGTTTTACTTCAAAAAGCTTTTAGGACGGCTGTTTTCAACTCCAAACAGGGCTTGTTTTACTTGGCCTTTGGTTTAACTATATTGCACTTAACTAATTACTTACAGCTTTTTCTGTGTGAATTTCCTTTAGGTTTTAGTTGTTTCTTGCCTCTGTCTTAAGGCTATGCTGAGGCTCTGGCCTGGGTGGAGGAGGAAAACTTGGCCAGGTGGGAAGCAGTTGCCCGTTAACCAATGGCCGCTGTGCAAAGTGATTAATGCCCGGATGGAGGGAGGTTTGAACAAAGAGATACCTGGAGGCAGGGAGGAAACACTTCCTGGTTGAAGTGAAATTTGAGCTGTGCTTTGTAGCAGAAGTTTGATAAATCACTGGTTTCTGGAATATGCTCTTTTGTACCCCAAGGTAAAGAGCTCTTCCCGGGAGATTGTTTTGAGTGGTAAACATGGAAGTTGCTAAGTAATTATCACTGAGTACAGGAGAAATAAACCTGAGGAAGCCTTTGACTAACTAGGGAAGGTAGAAGAGAATTGATTTCATTGAATAGCTTCAAAATGCTGTCAATGTTTTGACTTGTTTCCCTCTGCTCCACCAGCTTTGCATTACTAATTTTCTTTAGGCAAAGAGAGAGCCAGTTTCATACAGAAAAAACAAAACAAAACCAAGAAAAACTCAACAGCCTATAATAAGATAGTTAAAAAAAAAATCTCAGGCTTGCCTATGGAATAAGATGTTAGTGAAAAAAAAATGCTTGTTGTTTCAACACACTTTTGCCTGTTTTGGGGCAAATTATTGCTTTGGGTCCAATAAACACATGCTTTGAATGTAGACCCCAGAGGCCTTGACAGGTCAAAACAAGCAAACAAACAAAAACAAAAACTAGGAGAGGAACTTGCAGTGCGCCCAGTGGGAACGGAAGCCAACAAGGATGGTCCCTCTGTGCCCCTCAGTCATCCCAAGTGGAGACTGACTCCTGCAAGCTAGGGGGCTCGTAGCGGTATTGCTAGATGCCAGTAAATTTGACTTGACCAATTTTGAGTTCCACCCCCAGAAATGATTTCGAGCCTTCCTGCTCTTGTTCTGGGAATTCTCAGGCCCTTAGGGATGCTGGAAGGCAGCTTTGCCCCCTGCTGCTGTCTGGGGAACAAATCAGTTGGGGCCTAGACTTGAAAGGGAGCACGTGTTTAGGAAATCTCATTAGCTGACAATTTAACTCCACGCTAATGCTCATCCAAAGAGCTAGAACAAAGGCTTCCTCTGCTTTCCCCCTGCAGTTCTCTCTCCCAGCTCTTCTCCCCTCCCTCTCTAAACCTGAAAGGAAACGCAGCCCTGGTACTTCCCCGCCCTCCTCCCCACCCCAATTCCTGCAGTTCTGGTGAGCTGACTGAACCTCAGTTCTGGAGCACCAGGGCAGCAGTTCCTCCCCGAAAGGTGCACACATGGACACTTCGCCCTTTGCTTTCTGCAAGGAGCTTACTGTCTGAAGGAAGAGGAAACACGTGAAAGGACAGGGCCTTCAAACCTGTGCTTTCCTAAATGAGGAATACAGGTGAGAACATAAGAATCACGCTGAAGCCTCGCCTAGAAATCAGTGATGGCTGGGGCTTCTGCCTGTTTGAAGTAACAAGAGGGATGAGAGTGCACAGGCAGAATTCGGTTCCTGTGGGCAATGTACAGATTCCCAAACCCCACAGGTTAGGCTGGTGTTTGAGAAAGATCTTTATTTTCAGTGTCTCCTGTTGTGTGGACTCCCGTATCTAAAACACTTTCACTACATGCACGCTTCTGTAAATATCTTTTTTTTTTTTTGCTAAAAATAGGTAGAATGCATATTTCAGAGTGTGCCCCTGTCTTCCCCTACCCCCATTATAGGACCAGAAAAACACAGATTTGCAAAGCTCCAGCAATATTTTCCTGTTTTTCACATTTCCAAACTTCCGATTGTTTCGTCTCTAAATATTCAGTTTTCTGTAAGTAATAACTCCTGTGTTAAAAAGAATGATCTCTCATCAGTGTGGGCCAAATCACTTATTTTTAAAGAATTTATTATTATTATTATTAAATAAAGGAGGCACTCAAAAATAAAGCAGTGCTCAGCCAGGAACAGAGTGTTTTGAAAATAAAACAATGCGCTAGTGTAAAAGCGTACAAGATATTAATAGCTAGGCCTGTTTTCCCCTCCCACCCGCCCCCCCACCCTCCTTCACCTCCCTCCATGCCCCTGCAGCATAAGACTTGCACTGTTCCCGTGGTCTCCGGGGATCTCATTAAGAAATTTATAAAGGCCTAGAGTGTGGATATGGAGAAATCCTGCCTGTGCTGTGTGAGATTCTTCTAGGAGACTGGCGCTCTTTGGCTAGGTAAAGGGTTGAGGCCGAGCTGAGAGACTTGCATTTTGCAAGTTGGGTCTCAGTTCATTGAAACAGAGGGGGCCAGGATGCTGGGGGGCGAGGGATATAATAAGAACGCATAGATTGTGTGTATTCAAAGGACCTTAAACAAAGAGTGATGATTAAGTCACGAGCTCTGTGGGAAGAAGGTTCTTTCAGCTGAGAGCATCCTCACTTTCAGAGTGGGCCAAGGCCCTCTGAGTCTTGGTGCTGTCACCAAGTTTCTTTCCATAAAGGGACAGTTGAATATAGATGTGAGGTGGGTGTCCTAGCATTTTGGAACCCCCCCCCCCCTTTAGCGAAAGTGAAGTATACTAAGAAAGGTACATCGTGTTGTCTGGCCAGGGCCACTTTGAATTAATTCATAAAGGAAGAAAATAAAAAGAAGTGGGGCGGGGGAGTGTCTGGTTTAAAGAAAAAAGACACCTGTATTATTTAATTCCAGCTTCTGCCCCCCGCATAGAACATGATTTTATTAGAGATGGAAGGAATAGTATACAGGTATGTGAGGAAATATGTGATCTCAGCCTAGAATGGGATTGGAGATTAGGCTATGGATGGGGATGCCCTTGCTTTTCCTTAAAGGTTTCAGACACTTGTTCTCTGTGGCCATGGAGGAGACAGGATATCCGGCCGAATGAAGGTGCCTTTGCAATGGCTGCCTCCGGCCCAGAGCCCTCCTCCTAGGCCAGAGGCTGCGAATATTGTAAACATAGATCAGTTTTAGTTCCTGCTCCTGATTTCCTCTGCCCTTTGCAGAGGTGATACGGAGCCCTGGAAAACCACCAGGTCAGCTGCCGGGAAGGGGAGGTCAGGTGAGTCATGGGTCTGAGATGCTCCTTGTGGAGTCCACAGGACCTTGGAAATGGAGTGATGAGATTTGTCACCCAGCGCTCTTCAGAAGAGGCGACAGTGACAGGCCTGATGTTTGCAGGTTAAGTGTCAGGCGCCCTGAGAAGGGGGTCTGCTTTGCCTCCCCTTTCTCCCGCCATGTTGGGGGAGCCTCCCT